CCCCAAAAAAGCCTGCTAAGATTTTGAGAGAGATTGTGTTGAATCCATAGGTCAGTTTGGGGAGAACTTCCATCTTAACAATATCAAGTCTTTCAGTCCATGAACATGGAATGTCAATTTCTCTCAACCATTTTAAGTAGTTTTCAGTATACAAGTCTTGCACTTATTTTACTACATTTATTCCTAAGTATTTTATTCTTTGTGATGGTATTCAAAATGAAATTGTCATTTTAATTGCATTTTCACACTTAATTTGTAGTGTATAGAAATACTTTTTTATCTTGATGATGTATAAGACTGTGCTACTCATTTATTAATTCTAGTAGTGTTTGTGTGTGTGGTTTAAGATTTTCTACATACACAATCAGGTCATCCGTGAATAAAGACAGTTTTACTTCTTCCTATTCAATCCGAGGCCTTTTATTCGTTTCCCTTACTGCACTGGCTAAAACTTCCAGCAGAATTTGGAATAGAGGTGGTGAGAACACACATCTTTGCCTCGTTCTTGATCTGAGGGGGAAAACATTCAGTGTTTTACCATTTAAGTATGATGTTAGCTGTAGGTTTTTTTATACATGCCCTTTACTAGGTTGATGAAGTTCCCTTCTATTCCTACTTTTTTTGAGAGTTTTTATCACAAATATGTGTTGGATTTTGTCAAATGCTTTTCTGTATCTATTGAGATGGTGATGTGGTTTTTGTCCTTCACTCTGTTAATATCATGTTTTACATTAATTTTTTTGATGTCAAACCAAACTTGCATTCATGGTATATAATCCTTTATATATATTGCCAGATTTGGTTTGCTAACACTTTGTTGGGAATTTTTCTATGTTCATGAAGGATATTTTTCCGTAGCTTTCTACTCTTGTAACGTCTTTATCTGAATTTGGTATCATGGTAATAACATCTTCATAGAATGAGTTGAGAAGTGGTCTCTATTTCAGAGTTTGTGTATGATTCTATTATTTCTTCCTTAAATATTTGGTTTAATTCAACAGTGAATCTGGGCCTGGCCTTTTCTTTGCAGGTAGATTTTAGAGTATTAATTTAATTCCTTTCCTTGTTATAGGTCTGTTATGGGTTAAACTGTGTCATCCCAAAAGATTTGTTCAAGTTCTAACCCCCTCAGAACATATTATTTGGAAATAGGATCATTGTAGATCTAATTAGTCAAGATGAGGTCATATTGGAGTAGTCTGGGATCTTAATCCTCTATGACTGGTGTCCTAATAAGAAGACAGATATGAGGGGAGAACACCATGTGATGATGGAGGCAGAGATTTAAGTGACACAGCTGCAAGCCAAGGAACATCAAGGATTGTCAAAAAACCACCAGAAGCTAGAAACAGTCAACAAAGGATTCTCCCCTATAGGTTTTAGAGAGAGCAGGCTCCTGCCAACACCTTGATCTTAGACTTCTAGCTTCCAGAAGTGTGAGACATAAATTACTGTTGTTTAAGCCACCCAGTTTGTGGCACTTTGTTATGGTAGCCCTAGGCGAGGAATACAAACTCTTCTCAGATCTTCTGTCTTCTTGATTCAGTTTTGGCAATTTGTGTCTTTCTAGGCATTTGTACAATTCACCTACATTGTCTAATTTGTTGGCATAAAAGTTATTCACAGACTCTTATAATTTTGGTAGGATGGGTAGTAATGTACTTCTTTCAATCCTAATTTTGGTTATTTGTCTCTTCTCTTTTTTTTTGGTCAGCTTAATAAAGGTTTGTCAATTTTATTGATCTTTTCAAAGAAGCAACTTTTATTTTCATTGCTTTTCTCTATTTCTCTCTTATCTATTTCATTGGTTTCCAGCATGATCATTACTTCCTCCCTTTTGCTTGCTATGGGTTTAAGTTGCTCTTATCCTTCTAGCTTGTAAGGTGGAATCCTAGATTGCAACCCTTTTTCTTTGCTAATATAGGTGTTCAAAGCAATAAATACCCTTCAGATCACTGTTTTAGCTGCATTCCATAAATTTCAATGTTTTCATTTTCATTCAGTTGAAAATATTTTCTAATTTCCTTTGTTACTTCTTCTTTAGCCCAGGAGTAATTTAATTTCCAAGTTTTTGAGAATTTTCCGAATTTCTTTCTATTGTCTATTCCTAATTTAATTCCATCTTAAACAGAGAATACAATTTGCATGATCCCAATACTTTTAAATTTATTGAGACTTGTTTTATGGCCTAATATATGGACTGCCTTGGAGAATATATCTCTTAAAAAGAATATAAATTCTGTTGTCATTAAGTACAGTGATCTATACATAACAGGTTGATAGTGTTGTTCAAGGTTTATATATTCTTGGTGGTTTTCTGTCCAATTGTTTTACCCTTTATTGAGAGTAGAATATTGAAATATCAAACTATTGTCTTTTGCCTATTTCTTCAAGTCCATCAGTTTTTGCTTCATGTATTTACGGCTCTCTTGTTGGCTGCATGTACATTTTTAACCGTTATATTTTCTTGATGTGTTGACCCTCTTATCACTACGAAACGTCTGTCTCCAGAAATATTTGTCTTCAAGTCCGTTTTGTCTGATATCAGTACAGCCACTGCAAATTTCTTAAGATTACTGTTTGCATTGTCTATCACTGTTAAGTATTGTTGATCTTATAATCATCATAATACATGATGCAATTTTGGACTTTTATAGTTCTTAAATTGTTCTCGAACTGTGTGATTTGCAAGCTTTTTCATAACAAGAAAGCTGTAAATTCTTTGATCAGTTTTATAAATCTTTTGCTACAGCATTGGGTATACATTAAAAGCAAGTGGATACCAAAACAAGCTCATCTTTTAAAAACATAGTCCAATTGTGTTATTTGCTCATGGTGTTGTTGCCTGATGCTCTCACTTTCAAGCCAGGTTTTAAAACCTGAGAATGATACTCATCTGCCTTCTTGCCGGTTCCAATCCTAGATTTATGAACTGTACAAAGGTTTTTACAACTCCTGTTTGTACACAAGAACCACATTTTAGGAACACTCATTTAACTCAGATAGCTTAATCTCAGGTATTGTTGCTTTTCTGCAAATCTTTGATAAAATTAGAAAACCATTCAGACCTTTAGATAAGTCTTGAATATTACACACAATGTGCATAATTCTGCTTTTACTCATGACTAAAATACAAGAGTACTTTTGAGCGTTTAGGAATCATTATCTTACAAGGTAATGGAACAGTTGCATAACTTTTATGTTAAAGGACTTCCTCCGGCATTGATGCTTTGGTATTTTTAAAGCCTTTCCTCAATGAAAGGATGCTGCTGCCTCATATGTTACTGTTTAAGATATACAATTGTTATCTAAGTGATGTTTGTCAACTTAAATGGGACTTGAGTATAATACAACACACTGATTTAAATCGGAACTTTAGTTCCAGTCTGCTCAATTAATCATATAAGACAAAAAAGGTCAGTTTTAAAAGGTAGAATTTTTCTTTCCTCTTAAATGTCTATGAAATTTTTCACTGATAATATTTTAAATTGAATATAATTGCCTGATCATATTCTTAATCCCTATATATAATGACAGTTTTATGAAATTACTGTACTGAGACTTTTTGATTTGTGCTTCCCTTAAAATCACCTTTGCATTTGATGTATTAAGGATAAGAAAAATGATGCAATTATAGCCAAGTGTAAAGGGTGTTAGAGAACAGAAGATAGGATTAGTATTAATTGAATTGATGCAAATGATCATGGATCAGAACGACAAATGGGAATCCCTTCTTTTTGAGAAATTACATTTATTTTTTTCTAGGGAAATACATAAAATATTTCTACAGGTAATTCACCTCTCCCCCCTTCCCCCATTCAGTTGACTTTCTATTTCCAGGAATGCAGTTTCTCATTGTCAGCCAAACTTCCTGATCAGCATATTGTTTTTAGAAGAAAGGGATAACTTGTAAGGCTCAAGGAATACACACTTGCCATTTGCTAAGACTCCTCCTTGTCATTTGAAAGGCTGTTATATACCCTGTACACAAGCCAAATTTTCATTTAAATTTCAAACTCCAAAATAAACATTTCCATGAAGAGTTCTTGTAGCACACAATCACAAAAGATAATCAAAACTCTTCTGATTTAGGCCATTTTAAGTAGACAAGCTAAACACAGCTGCCACCACTTTCAATGAATATAGAACAGTATAAAACCACCTGCATTTGGATTCCTCCTTGGAAAAGGCGTACCTTCCCCCAAGTTATTGGAAAATTCCGTTTCAAAGTTAAGACAGCTTTCTCATATTGTAGGAAATAAATGCAGCATTACAGCATTTAACTTAACCTGACTCCTACAACGGAACATCAAACGTGTTCCAGAATAGAAGCAAAACCCATAATTAAAATGGCATCAAATGATATATTAATCGAAATACGTAACACCTGAAGCCCTTAAAGAGGCAAACAGACTAAGAAAAGCAGTCTCAGACCTAAGCTTCGGGGAGTGAAAAGTCCACCCACCACCTTGTTTTGCTGGCCTACTTGGTAACCGGGGGTTCCACCACTGAGACAGGCAACGCGCATGCTGTCTGTGGATAACTCATGAAGGGGGGCGTTTGTCTCTCCCACCATCACTTCGCAGGCTGTGTCCGATCCTCCACGCAGCAGCATGAACTTGCGGGAGGGCTGACCCCAGGACAGCTTCTCAGCCGCGATGGGGATCCAGTCGCTGCTTCTCCCCATGTCCTGGTCCCTCGAAAGCAGGCCGCTCCTTTGCTTCACGCGTGGTAGGCGGCCAATAGTTATTTACGGCAGGAAGGAATATTATTACCCACGTTTCACTCGGAGCTTGGGGCAAGAGTCGAGGGTACCAACCCTCCAACACGGCGCTCTACTGCAGTGCCCTCCCGGCTGCGCCCTCGGAGGCTCCTCCAAGCCACCGCAGCCGCATGCAGCCAGCAAGCCCAGGCCGCGGGAAAAAGAGCGCGGGCGCGCGCAACTGAGCATGCGCGGCGGCCGGCCCACCCGCTTTACCGCCCTCCCCTTCTCCACCCGACCGCGAGAGCCGCGTCGCGAGATCGCCCACGCATCCCCCGCCCCGTCCCGGCCATGCCGGCCGGGGAGACTGGGAGCCTCCGGGATTGGGCGTCCGTGCGTGATGACGCACGTGCGCGCGGAGACATGGGGAGGACGCAGGCGGGCCGTAGAGAGCGTGAGTTTCCGCGTCTGCTTGGCCCCGGTTGTGGGGTCGTCGCCGCTTTTCTCTCCTTTTCCCGGGGCCGTGGCGCCGGCGGCGGGGCGGGGACTGCGGGGCGGCTGTCGGCGCCTCCCGAGGGGCCCAGGCGGGGGCGGGGCTGGAGGCGCAGCCTCGCATCCTGGGCAGGTCCGAGAGGGGGCAGCGCGTTTCCGGGGGCGACTCTTCATCGCGCCCCGTCCGTGCTGGGGGCCCACGGCACCGGGAACGACGAGCCGAGGGCTCCGAGGGCGGGCTTTGCTCTGTGGGAGTTTTAAAGGAGTCCTTTCCTAAGCAGGAAGTTTAAAGCGACGTTAAGTCAGCAACAGCTAGCAGTTTCAGGTGCTCTTGGAACAGGAACTTTCTGTTTCTCTGAACAAGCGTGTAGCAAACAACCCTAACCTGTGTAGTCGTAGTTCTCTTAATAGAACACAGGAAATCCACCCGAGTGAATTTAACCCTTCTCTGTCCAGACCGTAATCTTTCCAAAAAACAGAACACATGCTTATTTGTTTTTCCAAACCGAGCACAAACTCTTTTGAAGTCTCAGGGTTACTGTGAAAATGGATTACGTATTGCATAGTAATGATTTCGTCATCTGGATGTGTAGGTCCTTTTGCAGCACACTCAGTGACAGCTGGCCTTTGGTTTTTTTTTTTTTTCTTTCGAACTGCTTCTTAAAAGTCTGTCTGATGTCTCACGTTTGTAGGTCATTTTTTGCTGGTTCTGATAAACTTTAAAGACTTCTAATTTGCTGCTGGCATGGCAGGGATCAGGAAAGCAAGGAAGCTTGAGAATAGTAGGGCATTAGGTTCCTGAATTGTCCCAGGACCATTAGCATCAGCATCACCTGGAAACCTCTGGGAAATGCAAATATTAGGGTCTTACCCCATACTGACTGAATGCGAAATCTCTTTTAACAAGCCTTCCAGTTGATCCAATGCACCTGGGTGCTAAAGTGTGGGAATTACTGCCTTAGTGATAAAGAACAACCATTGTGAAGTCACAGAATGGAATTTGGATTCAGGTGAAGTCTTTCATAGGTGTTAGGACCTTGGACAAGTTACTTCAAGATTACTTCATAGGGCTGTAAGTATTCAATGTGAAAATACAGGAAGAGTGTTTAACAACACATGTAGAAAACACTCAAAGATGAGATGTTATTTAATAATTTGTTAGAACTACATAAGTTCATAGATTGTGCTGGAAGGATTGTTCATTGGGTTAGATATGGGTTGTGGTGCACCATATTGTGACCACTGCTTAGAGGGCATTTTATTTGTTTATTTCTGGATTCCCAGTTATATTCTATATCGTCAAAGTTGTTGGGTGCAGGATGTTCAGTTAACAGTTGTAGCAGTCCTTACTGACATAGCAATGCTATTGTGGCTGTAGTATTTTTAAGAAGCACGTTAGTAATTATGTTAAAGAGTAGTTTTTAATTCTTAGGACTTCTGGTCTTTTCAGCTTAATTATACGCTCTTTTGACCCAGAATTTGCTCAAGAAGGTAGGGTGGATAACCAACCAGAGGTAAGCCTTAGTCTTAGAGGTGAGAAATATTATGGAGCAGTGACTTGCGAGCAAAAGACAAGGCTGAAGATGTTTCTGTGCTTATCTTTTCCATATGTCACACAGCTCCACCATAGCAGAGAAGGCCTCGTCAGATCCACTCTCCATACCTCTGTTATCTGCAAGCATCACAGGAGTTAGGTTAGATGTGCCCTGTGCCTGCTGCTTTTTCTGATTGTCATTTGTGGTCTTTTTTTGTTTTTTGAGGAGGCTTGGCCGTGCGCTAACATCTGTTGCCAATCTTCCTCTTTTTTCTTTTTTCTCCCCAAAGCTCTAGCACATAGTTGTGTATCATAGTTGGAGAGTTGTAGCTCTTCTGTATGAGATGCCGCCTCAGCATGGCTTGATGAGTGGTGAGTGGGTCCACGCCCAGGATCCGACCTGGCAGACCCTGGGCCACCAAAGCGGGACGCGTGAACTTAACGGCTACGCCACTGGGCCGGCCCCAGTTGTGGTCTTTACTTACAACTTTTTCCTTCCCTTTTGAGGGGGCTAGTGTGGGGGGGAGAAAGAACGATAAATATTCAGGATTTGAAGCAGCTGCTCTAAAGCCTAGGCTCATTCTGATATTGAGAAGGGTCAGTACCACACTGTTCTAAACAACACATCAGTTTGACTAGCGCACCCTACTCCTCAGCCACACCGTGGCTCCTGGATGTTATGGGTGAGAGTGTTTTCAGATAAACATGAGTCACTTTGGGTATCAGCTACTGTAAATAATTTTGTTAATGTTGCCATTGAGTTGACGCTGTCCTGTCATAAAGCATTCATTTTTGGAAGGCCCCAAACATTTCTCTTGTTCTCTGCGTCCGAGAGGCAGATCTACGGCAGTGGTTTTGGGTCAGGCGGACCCTGCTTTGAACCCAGCCTCTGTTACTTACTGATTGTGGCCATTAGACAAGTTACCATCCTCGCAGCCTTCGTTTCCTCTTCTATAAAGTAGGAGTCATGTGTGCCTACCTCAGGACATTGAATTAAAGTACAGAACATGGCCACTATATGTTAGGCATAGAGGCTGAATAAATGCTGATGTTGGACGGGGAAAAAGGGTAGTTAGAAAAGAACCTCAAACCTAACTTCATCTCCTCATATTTTTATAAATGAGATAATTTTCTTATTACCTAACCACACTGCTTTTGTTTTTTTGATGAGGAAGATTGGCCCTGAGCTAACATCTGTGCCAATCTTCCTCTTTTTGCTTGTGGAAGGTTGTCCCTGAGCTAACATCTGTGCCAGTCGTCTTCTACTTTGCACATGGGACGCCACCACAGCGTGGCTTGATGAACAGTATAGGTCCGTGCCTGCGATCCAAACCCGCAAACCCTGGGCCGCTGAAGCGAAGCACGAAAACCCAACCACTGTGCCACTGGGCTGGCGCCACACTGCTTTTCTTTTTAAATGATAAAAGATGCCAAAGTGGGGAGTCAAAACTTTCATATTATTGTGAACGAGAGAAAGCAAACACTTGGAGAAGGTTAAAACTCAATAGAAAAACACTATCTTCAGTTTTATCACTATAACAGAATAATTTCCATAAAATTGTTTTGGGTGTTTACTGGAAGGTCAAGCTGAGGAGGTGAGTAGTATCTAAGTATCTTCAGTTAGCTAATAGGGACAGTCAGCTATAGAAGCTATGTTACAGGAGATGAGACCTCACTGAAAACATGCATCAAGTAGAAGTCAATACTGTTAGCTCTGAAATAATTATTTTTTTAATATGGATGCTTAATGGTAGTAAAGTGAAAAGTTTTATGTTCCATATTTTAAAAAGTGATAAAAAACTCATGTATTTTTATGTGTATGTATTACATATGGATATATGAGCATACCAGGTTGTAATTTCGGTTACTTGGCAATGTATTGTAATATGGGGATGGGGATAAAAAATCTATAAATTTATGTAGAGTTAGATGTGTGTGTGTAAATGTAAACATTCTTTAAAAAAACTGTTAAAAAGATAGAAACAATGCTTTAAAAAGATAGATTTCCTTTTATGCTGCAGTTATAGTATCTAAGTAGTGGTCCTCAAGATTTTTTAGCACAGAACTCTCTTTGGCAGAATCTTACCTGTAAAGCTCAGAGAGCTGAAAGGCTTTAAGAGAAGAGAGGTCGAAGGGCCCAGGCCCTGTCTGCTGGTGCTGGTCTTGAACCTCTCGCAGCGACACTCTGAGGCATGTCATTGGATCCTAGGAATCGAGGGCACTGGGTGTGAAACTCTTCATCTGTGGGCTGGAAATCCTGAGGAGATGAGCCATACCTAAAAAGTCACGGCATTTAGGATTCTTCTGAGTGGGATTCACAAACTTCTTCTGAAGACGACTCCCAGGGTTTTCAGCAATGTCAAACATATGTATAGTGTCTCATGCAGAGGAGTGAGTGAGTGTTAAAAAAAAAAAAAAAAAATCCAGCCTTCAATCTGATCCATATTTTACAAAAGTAGTGAGGAGTCTATGCACATTTTTTGAGAAATCATCTAAGTTCTTTTTTTTTAATCCCTCTAAGCTGTGACAGCTGTATCACTGTTAAAGCTATTTAATATTTTAACAGGCTGTTGTTTAGAATTACAAATGACTCAAGAAAAAGAAACAAGGAGTCGATGGAAATGTATTACTCCTGTTTACCGTCCCCCTGTTTTTTGTTGTATGAAAGCAGCTGGTTTGCATTTATATGGCAAAGGATTTTTCCTAAAGAGTTAATTTTTAGTTAATAGTGAGCTTTCATAAGAAAAATAATTTCAAATGCTAAGTGTTTGTTAGATTGTTATGAACAGTGGTAGTAGTCATATCACATTGTCTTTTTTCACACATTGAAGAGGGTTTCCTGGTGACAGCTGGAGTGTGGAGGAGGGGGGGGTCACTCTCAATCAAGCAGCTGCTCTGTGCAACATCATGATGGTGATATTTCAAAGCCCGTGGATCATTTTGGCTGTATTCAGAAAAGAAAATGTGTCAAATTTCTGGGAAGCAGTAGATAGCGTGCCGGAGCCCTTTGGGGTCTAGATGATAGCCGGCTAACAATGTGTGTATTCAGGTTTGCATGTCGGTGTTATTTACCATCTAGTTTCTTGGACGTTGTTACATGCACATCATAATTATAAAGCAATAAAGTCTAGTTCCATGGGGGAAAAGGCTCATTACTTTATGGAGAGGAAGGGAGAATGGACAACAAACTTCGGGAGTGTGTTACGTGCTTTCACATAATATACCATTTCATTTATTCTTCACAACGACTCTCGGAAGTAAGTGGAATGTTTCTCATCCATAGATAAAGAAACAGAAGCTCAGCAGGATTGATTATATGGTTTGCCCACGGCCACATACTACTAAGCAGTGGCATCCATGTTTGACACCAAATCTGGCTTCAGCTCCAGGAATGTTGTCATTACACCAACAGCTGCTTCTCCATGGTG